CGCCCAGGCCCGCGCGGCCGGCCGCCGGAAACGCAGGTACCGGCCGGGCCGCTCGGGAGACGGGGGGCCCTCGGCCGAGCCGCCGCGCTGCACTGTTCCTCACTCCGGCCAACACCGCGGCCCTGGGGAAGCCCTTCGTTCTCCTTCCCCCGCGGCCTGAGGCCCTGGGCCGGGCGCCTCTCCGGGGCCGCCGCTGAGGCCGTGGTGTTGCCGTGGTGTCCCTGGCTCAGTGCTAGCGCTCTGTCTGGGTGAGCGCCCCGGCTTCGGGAGCCGTGTTGGGGCTCCGGCCTAGAGGTTTGCCCCGAGGAAACCCAGCCTTCAGCGGCACAGCGCGTCCTGCTTTGCCCGACCATGCTCTCCTCAGTAAATGCAACAGCTGCTCCACCAAAAAAAATGTGGAAAGCACCCTGTGCAACATGTTGGGGGGCTAGCGATTTGCGACATCTTTTAGAAGTGCGTGGAGGTGTTGAGGCCTACTTCTGCTCGTGCAGCCTGTGGAAAAACCCACAAGAAAAGCAGGTTGGCATAGGCAGATTTTCTAGTTTCTCTAGTCAGCTGTCTTAGGAAAGTGTTTTGCTGGAGGAGGAGAGCTCCTCTTTTTTGGTCACCTTTGGTTGAATGTTGTGTTTGCTTTTTGGCTGGCACCGAAGGCCTCTCCACAGTGTCTAAACTTTTTGCATTGTAAGAAAAGCAATTAAAACTGAGCCTTTGCAGTTGAAAGTAAAACTGAACTTTAGGGATTAAATTTCTAAAGAACATCAGTCATAATATATTTAAACTTTTTATATTCTAAAAGGAGAGCAGTATCACTTTTCAGGGGAAAAAATACCTTGGTAAGATGTTCTGGTTTTTTGTTTGTTTTGTTTTGTCAGAGCAGGTCATTCTATTCTTTTCTTCTATTCCCACTCTGTCTCCTAAAAGTTATGTGTTAGGTTATATGAATAGATAAAAACTTAATGATGTGTAAGAAGAGGTATTAACATAATAAAACCGTTCCAGAACACCCACGACAGACAAGAATTCCGATCAGCTCCCAAGATAAAATTTTGGTTCCTGATTCTGGACCAGCAATGGCGAAACCTCAGGTGGCGGTGGCTCCTGTGGTAATCTCAAAATTGTCTGCGAACGCACCTGAGTTTTATCCCTCAGGATACAATCTGAACTTTGCAGTAAGTATTTATCTTCTCTTAGTATATGCCGGTTTGCTTATATTCAAATTTGCAATGTTTTCATGAGTTCATGTGTATTAGACAGCTCGAATGCTGCAGTAGTTAAAGAGAATCCAAAATTTGAGACACAGAATGTTAAGTGATAATGACTGAATAACAGGGATTGCTTGAGAGCCTTCAGTGTGGGCTGATTTGTTAAAGTTAACTGCAGATAACTGCATTTCTTCTTGATTGTACCAGGCATTGACTTCACCAATGTGAGAGCAAGCTGTCTCTTCTGAGACTGCATCTGTTGTAGCTCTATCTACACCACATTTTAAGTAGAGGCTTAGCTTCACTTTCATTAAGATTTCTCAGTTTTTTTTGAAGCAAGTGCTTTGCTTAGAAAAGCCTTAGGCATCCATTTTCTAAACGTGCTGAGTCTAGCAGTGATTGACTGTCAATGCCCAACTGCATTTATCATCATGTGTCTTACAATTTTGCCTTTTGGTGATACAGTGTCACTGAAAGAAAAGTATGGTTGGACTCCTTCCTAGTATCCATACACCTTCGGTGGGATATTTGGCTTAAATCTGTGTTGTGGATGTCACATGTAAATACAAGCCAGATGCTTCTAATTTTCTTCTGTATTATGGTACAGGAGTTTTACTCCAGGAGAGACCTGTGTTAGTCCTTGTAATAACCTTTTGTTATGTGAGCAGCCAGACTGGTGGGTAGGTGTGTGGAAACTACTATTTTTACAAATATATAAAATATGCAATTAAGTTGAAGCAAATAGATTTTGAATAACTAATAGAAAAATACTCGGGTAAATTCTACATCAGGTGTTTTGGTGTTTCCACAAAAAAAAATGATGTTATTGGGATGTTACAACCTATGCCAGTTTGCTGAATAAAATCAGTCTTCTGAATAATGCAATCCCATAGCCAGTAGACAGCTGTTGACTGAATGCCAACGTGAACATGCTTCAGTAAATGGATAATCTACAGGGAGAAAAAGAGTGCTTTGACCCAAAACATGTTATATGTTTTCTATAAATGAAGGATTTTAGTTCCTTGATCAAAAAATGCCCTTTGAAATTAACAGATTTGCATACATGCAATTACAAACTCTTAAGGCCAGTGATGTTACTTTTCAGCAATTTTATAAAAACACACAAGCATGTGGGAGTTTTTAGCTGCCATGTTGTAAGAATAAGTTATGACTATAAACAATTGATCTTAATACAAAAAGCTTTAAAATGGTTGCAAAAGCTAAAACTCTTATCTAGAGGTATGTTTGGTATGTTGTAAGGACCCTAATCTAATACTAGGTTTCCATAATAGGCCTGGAATAGTTAAGTTCCAGAATTGTTACTCCTTCACTGGGTACTTTTTGTTGTTGTTGTTATTTTATTGACTGAGCTAATTTAGTAAACTGGGTTCATCTGCAGCAAAAGTGGGAAATTTAGGATACTTTACACAGATCTTGTGTTTGGCAATGGTAAAATGGAAGCAAAACAATTTTGAGAAGCTTCTTTCTTTGAATTAGAATGAATACTTCTAACCTTCTTAGTGTTCCTTAGAGTTTTAGATATGAAAACTCATATTTCTCTGGAATAATATACAGCTTTTTTGATATATATTAAGCATTTAAGTTTGCAAATTTGTTATTAGGTATATATAACCTGAAGGAAAAGAGCTTTTTTCTACAAAGTCTGAGGAGAACTCAAGCTGATGATAAATTACTGGTAGCTAAATGTGAGCAGAAATGTTGTGAATACTTCTCATGTATACTAGTGTTTAGCAAGTGCTGAAACAGAAGCTGAGAGCAGATTTGGATCATGAATCTTTTGCTGTGTTTTTTGTTTGACTATTTACCCTTATTTAGCCATTATTATGCCTTTAAACTCATAAAGTTAGAAGCTGCTGTCAGAGCAGCTCTTAAAAGCTACAGCATTCACTATTCTGGGCTGCAAAGTTTTCAAACTGTTTGACGAGATGCTAGTTGTGCTGTACAGGATTAATATAAGCTGCAGTTGTTACACAGTGTCACATTTCTGGAGAGCAAAATAGTCTAACTTCATTGTACAGGACATTCACTGAGCTATTCGAAAGTGCCTTGTTAAAACTAGTTTCCCTTACAGAGATAGAATATTTAGCAAGTTGCACAGAGACCTGTTAGCTTATGGATCGAAGGAATAAAAGGTCCAAACTGTTGGAACCATAGAATACTATGGATTAGAAAGGAGCTCTGTAGGTCAGTGGAGCCATCCACCAGCTGAGAGCACAACCAGCATGGATCGGGTTGTACGCAGCTTTGTTATCATCAGTAGGAAAAACTTGCCACTAGTTCTTTAAGTCTTTAAGAGCATTTTTTCCTATTTCTGGTGTGCTATATTAAGTCCCTTTAAGTCCTGTTCAGAATTGTTTATGAGGCAATTGTTTCAGTTAATTAGGTATCCAAGGAATGTCGTCTTAGTTTATCTTCTTTTACTTTGAGCATCTGCCCTATTAGATTAGGTTGTATACCCTTAGAACATGCTTTAAAAAATTTGAAAGTGTGAGTTTTCCCATGTCCTCTTTACAGTCATTGAAATTAATATTAGTATTTGATTTTTTTTTTTTTTTAAGTATTTCATTTCTTCATAGTTTGTATCCAGGTGATTTTTCTTTCACAGATGACACATCTGTGTTGCTCCTCAGTAGAGGAAAAACTGCAGCATATTGAAGCCAGAAAGTAAAAGACAGCTGCTTCTTCAGGGAAGGGTGAGGAGAGGTAGAATGAAAATATAAATCTGTTCAATGTATGTATGTCCACTGAAGAAAGAAAAAATGATTGTTTTTTAGCTCAAAAATTTTAAATCTTTTTCTTATTAAACAGTAGGTCAGTTGAGAATGCTGTTATTCTCAGTACTACCGTTAGGTTTTGAATCACTAAGTGTAAGTTTAGTTCTTCAGCAATCCTTCTTTGGGCTTTGGTTTTTGTTTACAAATGCTCATATGAGATACTATTTACAAAATCAATTATTTTGATCTCCATTTCTGTATGGACATTTTGTCCATTTCCGAATGGACAAAATTAATAACATTCTGTCCCAACAGTGGAAGCATAAAGATTGGTGAAGTTGTTATTGTGCTAGCTCCATTCTTTAGGAAGCAAGAGTGTTTACTGTCTTTTTATTTGATATCAGTAACTTCTGATTAATGCATCGCCACTCTAGTTTCATTTGATGCCTAGCAGTCCTCATCTATTGACAAGCAGTTTGACTTCAGAAGTTTTTTTTCTGGCTTTATTGGACATGGGAAAATTGCGCTATATTTAATGTATTTCTTTAGCTTATCTCCTCCTGCTTCTTTTGGAGTGCTTCTCTTTGTAATCACAAAACATTTTGGTTCCAGTATCTGATTACTTTTCCTTACACAGTTCGTTTATTTGCAGTACAGTTCGAGTATGCATCAGGCAAAAAGGGTTATGAAACTCAGTTTGGTGCTGCTGTTCTGAAGAGATTCGCTTATTTTTTTAAGAGGTTAAAAATTTTAGTCTTGCATGCAAGTTGGCAAACCATTTGATTTGCTTTTTAGCCTATCTTTTTGACATGTTTGGCTAGGAGACTATAATCTGTATAATGACAGCTGACACTGTTTTTAGAATTCTAGAGCTTAATGGAGCTTTCCGGTGCATTGAGGTGTATGCTGTCTAAAAATGTTCAAGTATATCACGTAAAAAAAGATCACTATCAAGCATGAGAGTATTAAGAGTTATTTAAGACTAAGGGCCATACAGCTGCTTTAGGAGATGGTAAGTTCAACAACTTTGTTTTAGGTTCTTTTCAAATTGTTAATAAATTGCTTTGCTGCTGTAGGAGTCTCCCTTTGAAGATGGATGTGATAGCTATCTGACTTTGACGGAGTATGTACAAGATTTCCTAAATCACCTCACTGAGCAGCCGGGTTGTTTTGAAACTGAAATAGAGCACTTTGCTGAAACACTGAATGGCTGGGTAATTACAGATGAAGCTTTGCAAGAACTCGTGGAACTCATCTATCAGCAGGTAGTCTGTGTGTTCAGTTTTATGAAGTGGATATTATGGTCCTCTTCCCTGCTATGAAAGTTATATGGCTATAACATGCAAGATTTTATTTTGGCTTTACATTTCTCTTCCTTTTTTTTTCTTTTCCTTTCTTCTTTTTTTTCTCTTTTTTTCTTTCTTCATTTTAGATTGAACATTATGGGAAAAGTTTTTGCCTCGTAATGTGAAATGACTGATCATGGGTGGAGTGGTTGGTTGATTTTCAGTTTATTTTGTTTCATTTCTTGTGTCTTTGAATTTCCAGGGGCATATACTGGAGCGCAAAATTCAGTAATTTACTTAGAAGAGGTTTTATAGTAGAGATGGAAAAAACCCCTTAAGCTACATCAAAGTTTCCCATTTTTCTTCCACAAAGATAACTTAACTTCGTAATACTTGCATATTTTTTTCTTTTCATGGTTTGGTATTTTAAAAATTAAATACTCTCTTATTTTGCGCATCACCCTTTGGGAAATATTCAGTTATTGACTGGTTTTGTTCCTTATTTGGAATATACCTATTTCAGAACAGCATAACTGAAGAAAAAGAAAGCTAGTCTGCCGGGTAACTAGGTCCCGTCCCATTGACGGCCATGGAATGAGGACAGAGACCTTGGATTGAACTCTGTGCTAATTGAGGGAGCTATTGGAAAGAACAGCTTAATCTGTGTTGCTAAGCAAATGAGCTGCTGCTACTGCCTTTGGACTTGCTGCAGAGAATAAGTGGCACTTGTGCTTGGTGTTTATTACATTGGATATCTTTTTCCTGTGTTGGTTTCTGTCAAATTCTGTTTTTAAGAATGTGAGCAATCCATTTTTTATTTACTCTTAAGTGCAGATACTTGCACTTTTTTTTTCCCCTGATATAATTTGGGATATATAGAGCTGCCTGACTGATTGGTGTTCATAGAGTACTGTAGGATGTGAAGTTTCTTACAGAACTAATGCATGTGTAATTCAGCACGTTTTCAGTTCAGCTAACTTTTGTCATTTTCTGTGCCTTGTTAAACAGCATCATTTTTTTCCCAATCTTCTATTTGAGCACTTGTGAGTAAACATAATTAAAGACTAAAATATGAAATATAGCTTTATTGGAAGAAAATGCAGGAAATTATTCCATGTGTGAAAATGTATTTAAATATACAGAAAGCTGCATTTAATGTAAAGTCTTTAATGTCACCTCCTCCTCTCTCTCACTATTTAAAACAACAGTATAATGTTGGGGGTGGCTATCGCTTCCTCAGCCAAGAAGCAGTGAATGCAACAGTCATCATTTTTAATCTGAAAAGCAGAACTATAGCTCAATGTAGAATATCTGCCCTACTATCCCAAAATGTAAGACTTCAGTTTGTTTGTAGCACAGAAGAGCATAGCATGTATGCTCAATATTCTTTCTTGAGCTTTTACTCACGTGTTTGTGTTTCCTAGTCTTAGCTTATCACAAAATGACAGTTAATGAAATGTATTTATAAGCCGTTGATTCAGTAGTATTTAATTTAACAGAGCAGAGCAGAATTACAGATGCTGGATTTGTCAAGGAAAAAGGCTATATCAGAAAAGAAAATCAGGTTCTGTACAGTTTTCCAGTTACTTGGGTGTCAGGTAATTCAGGCTTTCTGAAAGATTATCTCCTTTCTTCTCTGTTCTTTGCATTTATGGGTCCATCTGGAGTGACCTGACAGTTCTGTTTTTCAAAAGCTGAGCACCTGACCATGTGATTTTGGGAATCTTCATTGCTGTCTAGTTAATATACTAGATTGTTGCTGTTATAGTAACTGAAATGTCTTAAACTGTGTATTGACAGACTAGCCTTTACCTTTAGATTGTGATTTTGAGTGACAGACAAGCTGGGGTTGCCAGCCACAGTAATGCAGAAAAGGCACTAGGCTGCAATGATTGGTTATAAAGATGATGTCCTCAGTGATTTTTTTTTTTTTTGAATCCTTGAGTGCTGTGAAAGGGCATAAACTTAAAATTGAACTGTTTTAGTGTCTGATGCAACCACAAATGCAAAGCTACTAATTACAATAAAGCAATAATTGTAAAATGCAGCTGAGGGTTGAAAGTTTGGGGATTTTTTGTTTGTTTTGTTTTGCCAATAAGGAAAGTTATAATTGATACTTTTACCTTGTTTTACAAGTAGGGGGTACCTTTTCTGGTCCAGGCAACTTATTGAACAGCACCCACATGCTGGTTAGATGTTTCACATATATTTTAACCAGAAGTAATGACTGCTTGACCTTCTAAAGTAATAAAACTTATTGTAGCTTCCAAAACCAGCTCTTTCCAGCAGCATTATGCAGATTGCAAAATTGCATTGAGTGTATGTTCTCTGCTTGTAAAAGGTGACTAGATAACACATTGACTTTCTAATGGCAAGACTTTTTTTAAAAACATACAAGAAGTCTGCAAGTGCAGGCAGATGATCAAGATGTAAAAAATACATTCAAAGATATTAAAGCCAGTGGAGGGAAAAATTAATGAATTCTCAGTATCCATGCTTTGTTTGGCATGCTTCCTATTCCAGAACCTTTTTCTTTTTTATTCTTCATCAGAATGTCACCTGAGAAATAATCTTGAAGTTAAGCATTGCTGGAGGAGACTTTAAGACAAATCAACAGTAAAAAATTGCTTTACAATTGCAGAAGCAAGGGAGCTTCTGTGCTTGAAGTCCTAAAAGAGACAGAATGTATACCTAAATGATTTTTTTCGTTAGTTTTTTTGCACCTCTAAAAGTTTCCAAGTGTCAGGTTTAAAGCAAAGTATTTTTCAGGCAGCATGCATAACTCAGATTGTGGAATTTTATTGCCACCACCTGTGTTTTACTTGATAAAAGTGTAAGTGTTCAAATGTAATAGTCATTTTAGAGAGGAGACGTTAAAACAAACAAACAAACAAAAAAGGACCCATAAAGGACTATTACCTGGAAAGATACAGTTTTAACTTCTGAATCAGGATATTGCTGTGCAGTGACGAATCCTTGACCTGCTTTTACATTCTTTCCCTGAGCATTCTCTATTGCCAGAAAGAGTCATGGGCTAGGTAGCCCTTAGGCTGAATGAAGGTGGAATTTTGGGTTTAATGCCCTCATTGCTCGTCTAGAAAGAGCGCACGTCGTTAAGAAAACATCTTTCAGATATCCAATATAAAACAGATATCTTTCAGATATCTAACAGAAATGGGGAAAGTGGAGTTAAGGACGCCTGGCATAAGCGTGGTTGTTGTCTTGAAGCCAAGAAATCAGTGTAATCAACTTTTAAGGTGCTGAACTGCAAATAGTGAAGTGAACATGAAACAAAACTAACATCAAACAAATAGCAATTTTTGTAATTTTGATACACTGCTTTCTGGTGGTCTAGTCAGCTATTGACAAGGATTGATTTCCAAAATGTATTTAAAGATACTTCCTAATAGTATAACCATTGCCTTTATGAATAATTTATTTTTCCAAATTTATTTTGGAAGGCCACATCTGTCCCAAATTTTTCCTACATGGGAGCACGGTTGTGTAATTATTTATCTCACCATCTAACCATTAATCCACAAAGTGGAAACTTCCGACAGTTGTTACTTCAAAGGTCAGTATCAGCACATCATTTAAGCTTTTTACTCATGTTCCACATTCTTCCTCTTTTGTATATGTAATTCTTAAGTCAGTGGGCAAAGAAGTATATATTAAAAATGGAAGTTTGAATTATGGATTATTAAAGCAGAGATTCATAATGGATATATAATAACTATATGTGTATTTTATAATATAGAAAAATAATTTTAATATAAAAATAGAACTTAATTCAGCGTAATGTGGACCCTTTTGAACTGAGTGTGTTAGACTGATGTCAATTTATGGGAGAATCTGAAAGACAGTCAACTTTAAAAGTACTGTAAATGTGCATACTCTTACTGTACTGGCCCTTGGCCCTTACTTACTTCATTTTTTTTTTTTAATTTGTTGTTGTTGTTTGTTTTGGTGTTCAGTTACTACTTGGGCTGTAATTGCTTTGTAAAGTTTATTCACAGATTGGCTAGTTGACTTTACATATGTGAGATAGACACCCAAAATACAGAAAGATAAACTTCCTAAATTTTCAGTTACAAAATTTTGGAAGCTTACAGTTAAAAAAATGATTAGACTTCACAGATGACAGAAATGTGAATAATTTTTAAACAGATGCATTTCCTTTTAAATCCGGTTGCATGAGATTTTGAAAGATTAATACACTAATATTTTTCTTCATGATTCTTTAGAAATTATTATTTTTTTGAGAACTACCATCTTTTCAAGCTTTAGATTTGCTTTTCATTTTGGAGTCTCATTTAGACCACCTGTGGTTAGGAAAAAAGCATGCATTATTAGATTAAAAGTTCATCAAAATGCATTTATCTTACGTGGGAGCATTTCCTCATGAATGAAATGGAAACTTTTTTTTGAATGTCCGAAGGCAGATGAGCCTTTTTTTTTTTCCAAAATTATGATACAAATTATCACTTTTTATCTTATGTTCTTAAAAAAGAAAAAGAAAAAAAAAGAGAGAAGAAAAAAGAACAAAAGAAAGAAATGTTGTTTCCTACAGCTTTTAGTTTGTATGAAGGAATCATATTCTTAGTGTTTAGATACCAGAATATGCTCAGTATCCTTTTGAATGTTCTACATCTCATTGTTTTTCCTGAGTTTGTGAGTATACCTATTACTTGAGCAATTCCTTAAAGGAAATACTTGTTGATACTCAGTTTTCTATCTCACTCCCAGTTTTGAAGCCAATCCAGTAAAAAAAAAATTCCTTATCCTGCAACGATAAATTTAAGGTGGCTTATATTTTTATTGTTAATATGTGTAGAATAGTCTGGGTAATGTGAGGGGTACATATGAACCATTTAACAACATTTAAGAAAGCTCTTTTGTTTCTCAGCACACTTTATACTTGGTATAAGAGAATAAATTAGCGATTATCTTGTATTCATATTATTCCAAATACCAAATTCATTTTTTGAATTGGTATGTAAACTTGCATGTTTTTGACACGGTTGTTGAATAATAGAAAAAATGCCTCACTGCAATGTTATCTTAAATTGTAAATAGTACAAAATCAATTAACTGAATTTGAATTCCAAGTATTTGTATTTATAACTAAATTATGCCTAGTTGTAACTTTAAATGGTGGCATGAAGAATTTATGAACTAAGTATAAAGAATTGAAATAACAGTTTAAATGCGGTTCATAGGTTCTTAGCATTGTTTTACATAAACAATATGTTGTTTGTGTTGATATGGCTACAGATGACAATGATATTTGCTTTAATATTTCAGGTGTCGAACAGAGTATGAAAACAGAGATCAAGCTGCAAAAGGAGATGAAATTACTCGAAAACAGTTTCATGCTTTTGTGCTTTTCTTAGCTGAACTTTATCTTAACCTAGAGGTAAGAAGGAAGCTCTGTGTCTGTGTTCATTTTTTAAGCAGTGGCAGGGAGTATCACTTGAAACTTTTTTTTTTTTTTTAAGAGGAAGAAGGGAAGAAAGTCAAAGAACTTGGGAACAATTTCATTATAATGTGTGACATGGAAGTACATAAGCAAAAAAGACAGGAAGTTATACAGGAAATATATCAAGATAAATACAGTTTAAGAGTTTATACAAATAAGCAAACATGAACCACCTTTTCCAAAAATCTATGTCTATTCACAGATATTTTCTATCTGTTTTCCTTGAAAAGTTGGAAAGAACATTTTGATACTGTCTTTCATTTTGTCCAGTTAAACTACCAGACAAATAGGACTTAAACAATATAGGAAGTGTACAACCTACCAGAAGAAGATCAGGATCAGTAATCCATGTAATTTAGTATCCAACCATTAACAGGAGCTATTAAAGAATGTTTGAGGAAGGTATGGGAATCTTCAAGACAAGCAATTTAAAAATTGAAGAGACTTTTTTAATGAATTTTGAGTTTTTGACTTATACCTGAAGCATAAGACCTTATATTTAGATCAGTTTCTCTCATCTACGATGTGTACATACACCTTTTTTAGTACACAAAACATTTGAGTCTTATGTCTATGAATTCAGTAAGCGCACTTCTTCAGTGTTTTTAAAAATATCTGGTTTATTTTTCAATAATTTGATTTAATTGAGTGCTATAAAAATGTTTTCTTGGCATGAGAAAATAAACCAGTTTTCTGGCCCATTTTTGTTTCTAAGTGCACCTTAAAATCTACTTATCACTTGCAAGAAGTAAAAAAGAGTTTTCCAAAGGGCATTTTTGTTGTTTTGGGAGGTTTTTGTTGTTTTTGGACAAGCTTTGTGGAGTATGAAGTATTTATTTTATAGCAGTATTCTATACTTTTCAATTATGTAAGGAATGTCTTCTAAAAGCAAGCCATTGTACAGCTGTAGAGAATGCATAATATAAGATGGGAAAGGTGAGGTTTCCGAGATTTGGGGCTTATGTACACAATTTGCCAGTTGTTTTGCAGCTTTCCTCAAGAACTGATTAACAAAGAAAATGCTAGGCATACACTGTTATACTTACAGAATCACAGAATGCTTAGGGTTGGAAGGGACCTCTACAGATCATCTAGTCCAACCTCCCTTCTCAAGCAGGGGCACCTAGAGCACATGGCACAGGGTGGCATCCGGGTGGGTTTGGAAGATCTCCAGAGAAGGAGACGCCACAACCTCTCTGGGCAGCCTGTTCCAGGGTTCTGTCACCCTCATAGTAAAGTTGTCCTCATATGGAGGTGGAACTTCCTGTGTTTCAACTTTTACCTGTTACCCCTCATCCTGTCACCATCCACCACAGAGAAGAGCCTGGCCCTATCCTCCCTACAATCACCCATCAGGTACTTGAACATGTGCGATTTGTATGAGTTTCAGTCTGTGTTCTAGAATATTGACCATATTTTGTATGTTGTTCCAACTGAACAGCCCACGTATATTAATCACATACCAAACCATAGAGCTTTTGATAGGGAAAATGTGACTAAATAAATTTCTATGACATAAGTCTTATTGGTGAATTTTTGATCTTTGGAAGATAAAGGGAACAAAGGGACAAGTAACACGAGCAGAAGTTCTTCAAGCTGGCCTTTGGGAATTACTAAATGCTCTCTTCTCTAATCCTGTGGACAGCAACCTGATATGTGCTGTGAAACTGCTGAAGGTGAGTTTTAAAAGAAGAAAAAAAAGTTTGGTAGCTTCTGATTTTTTCTAATGCATTGTAGTTCTGAATGAAAGAGGTAAAACACCCTAGACAACATGACAGACTTGCACTTTTCTCATTTTGCATATAATTCACATCAGTATCTCCCTCAGTTAATCAGACAAAATTAGATTATATTATTATTAATTAGAAATAATAATATGATAAATATTTTTAAGGTCAGAACTTCAAATAAATAACAGAAATCTCAGAAAAAAAATATAAACACTGCCATTTTCTCATGCTGTGAATTCAGACTTCAATGGCAAATTTCAGATGCTTCATGTTATTTTATTCTTAAGTTGAGCCTTATTTGAATAATATTAACTACCACCTATGGAAAATATTATTTCTCGCGCTTATTTAATTCTTGCAATTTAGGATACAAGGGAGGGAAGAGGTACTGAAGGGATACTTTCCCTGATTGCAGGACTTTCCGTATCTGTTTTATACATGAAGCAAAAGAGCTTTATGTTAATAGAAAGTGTTTTCTTGTATATAGTTGTAAGTGCATCAGTTAAACTGTATGGTACTAAGGTATGTTTGATTAACTATACGTGGTATCCACACAAATTAAAAAGACAAAATTTACTAATGCACTGTCTTTAGTTGACAGGTTCAGTTTTAGAAGATGCTTGGAAAGAAAAAGGGAAGAATGAAATGGATGAAATGATTCAGAGAATTGAAAATGTTGTGTTGGATGCAAATTGCAGCAGGTCGGAAGACACTGTTCAGCATTTTATTCTTATTAAATATCTTACTCTTTTCATGAAGAGTAAGGTGATACCTTGTTCACTTACGACCCATCAAAAATAATGAAATATTCTAATCAGATATTTTAAAATCTATTAATAGAGATGCACACAGGATTTCTAACGTTTATGTCTTTAAATAACTCTTCAATGCTTTAGGCTCCAAGAAATTATTATCAATACAGAAATACAGTGATGATAATGTATGACAGTTTATACTTTCCCATCTGAATTTAACTTTAAGGTGTGTATAAATAATCATAATCTGGAAGAACATAAAGGTATTCATATTTTTTTTCTGAACAAATAACTTTCTGATATAATCTTACTACATGCTGGAAAAAAAATGTCTGGCTCATATTTGTCTGGACTGCAATCAACTGTAGATGAGGCTGTCTGATTCTGCTGTATTCCATCCTCGGGCTTCTTACAGACTTGTGAAAATCCTCTAGGGTGTTCTGACACTGAGCTGTTATCTTGTTTTATGCCTTATGGAGGGATGTCAGCAGTACCTGGTGGTATCTGTGGGTTGTAATCAAGCTGCTCTGCAGGGAAGAACAGGAAGGGCCTACGTTAGCAATACAAATTTGGTGCTTAAATTAATGTGAGAATATCAGTTCTCGCTCCCCACTAACATCCTTTGTAAGAAAAGGATCTGCTGCCCCCAACTTAATCATGCTGCAGATTTGATGGCTTGATTTTAAAACTACAACGATTTCTATTCTGTTTGGGCTTCCTCCTTCACCACAGAGGATGTGGAGAGGGAAGGTAACTCACCCCCTTTTATTTCATAATTGAGAGGAAATACATATAAAGCATCTAGACTCAGACAAGAAAATCAAATTAATTTTCTGTAGATTGGACCAAATTTTGTTCTTTCAGATTTTTTTTTATGTATTTTGGTTATTGCTCTTTTTAAACTGGTTTAAAACTGTAAATCTGCGGTAATGGCTGTAACAATTGTTAAGCTGTTTTTCTCTTATTAACAAATCTGGTGATTATGATTTTTATTTATTTACTTTCTTTTTTCTTTTGAAGTATGGTTCCTAAATCTTTTTAGATACTGATTTAATGAATAGGTACCTGCAGGATAAGAGAGGTCTGATTTCCCTGAGCTAAACATTTGAACTTCTGTGTTCTTCTCTGTTTCAGAGATGTGAAACAGATGCTTCTGAAACTAGTAGAGCTCCGATCAAGTAACTGGGGTAGAGTTCATGCAACTTCTCCATATAGAGAAGCTACCCCTGAAAATGACCCAAACTATTTTATGGTAAGAATGTACTCAAAGTTCATTTCCTTAATGTATTGTGAATTCAATTTTATCATAAACAGTCACGTTGCTGTAAACTACAACTACCACTCTGAAAGCATAAAATTGACTGTATAACTTTATTCTTAGAATGAGCCAACATTTTACACTTCCGATGGTGTTCCTTTTACTGCAGCAGATCCAGGTATGTCTTAAGCTTAGTTCACTTGTCTTCTCACTCTTAGGAAAGCTGAAATTAAGTTTCTCCTGCTGATTTTTCTCAAAGTATCTGAAACTAATACAATATAAAAGGTATAATTAGAATCATAGAATCCTTCAGGTTGGAAGGGACCTCTAGAGGTGATCTAGTCCAACCTCCCTGCACACGCATGGTCACCTAGAGCACGTGGCACAGGGTCACATCAGGGTGGGTTTTGAAGATCTCCAGAGAAGGAGACTCCACCACCTCTGTGGGCAACCTGTTCCACTGCTCAGTTACGTTTAAATTTCTGTCTCTGAAGTGTGTAATGTATACCCTGCTCTGGATTAAAATACTGTAAGTATTAGAGGTTATATAAATCTCAGCACTTTGTGCTGTCTCTCTAGTTAGTCAGAAATCTTCCAGTCTATTTTTTTTTTTTGTCCATTGGTAGTCCTTAACAAAAGGGGGATTATTTCTTTGGTGCTGCCTTTGTTTTCGTTTGTCTAGAAACAGTGTGAGATAAACACCTGTGACTATCTTTTTCTCTGGAAAACAGATGTAATTCCTTATTCTTAGAGGTGGTGATTGATGTCATAAGAAAACACTGTAGGAAAGAGGTCATTAAATGACATATCATGTTATTTATGGTCTCTTTGCCTCTGTGCTTTATTTGCAAGTATTCTCTCCTGTGTGCATGCAGAGGTCTGTATTGAGGAGCGTGTGAAACGAGCATCAGTTGCTCGTATGCAGTATGGACTGCCTTATTGCCCATACATGGAATTCTTTACTCAAATATATATATATATATGTATGTATGCATGTATAGTTATTTTTACTGCAGACTTAAGAAGACGGTCATGACAAAAATGTGACTTTTTGCTTTTGCATAGGTTGGTTTTCAGTTATGCAAATTTGAAAAAATCCAGTTGAGAAAAGGTGGTTATAGTTCAGATATTTTGGCACATAATGCAAGCATATTCTCTTCTGCATTTTTTTTCCTGAATGAAGCACCAGAGCTGGGAAGCATCAAAAATGAGGCAACCTGAATTTGATATATGTGCATACATCTTAGTTATAAGTTATTACAGTTTTCAAAAATTTTCAAGGGGAAGAGAAGAAGTTTATTAAGGATTTGAGTTTCTCTCCTTGGGATAGGCAGTGTTCTCTGAATAAATGGCTAGTCAGTATTCCTGTAAAATAGGAAAAACAACTTCAGAGCAAAAGGGGAGTTGGTAGATGGGAACATAAACTAATGTCAAAAAGGTTATAAGCATTTAATAGGAAACTAGTGGAAGAATTTGTACCTAGAATAAATTGCTTTGCATTTTCTACCTGCCTCTTTGAAGGATGGGGAGGATTCTGAGATCATGATTTGGTATTGTTCTTTTGTACCTAAGAGTATTCCCAGTGTTGCTTGTATATGTGATATAGTACTGGCTTGGATCAATACTTTTGGTAATAAATGGAAAACTTCTGGGTGGCACCTAGCCAAGAGAGCTGCAGTAGCTTTGGAGGATGATTTTAGACACTGGAATGGCTTTGATTAAATTAGAGATGTCATTAGGAATGAAGCAAGATCATATTCAAAATAAATACCCATGGGAACTGCTGTGCTTAGGAAAAGAAAAAATGAAATGCAAAATAGAGGTAGCAAATCTGAGGAGTGACATATAGAAGACTGTGAGCCAAACTTTAGGACAAGGTGACTGTGGACCCTTCTTTGTTAGAGGCTTTAAAGCTCAGATCAATCCTTTGTCAGCTTGATCAGGAAAAAGAATTCTGTACTCAAGTCCCTCCTTAAGCCTACGCTCCTATGAAAAAGGAGGAACAAAAATAAATATGTAGACAAATTATTTTCATGCTCAAGAGGAAATTACTTTTCCTACTATGCGTTTCTGTGGCACTTGCTGTGGTTGGCTATAAGGTAGGTATCATTTTTAGCCTCAGTGCAGCTAAGATGCTAGTTTTCTTGCGATTCCCCAAGATACAGAGAGATAAAACAAATAGGGCACATAAAATTAATGCACACATTTCGAGAGTCAATAACTGCTTTTTGGAGGGGGTGGGGATTGGGGAGCTAGTTTTTTTTTTTTGTCTTTTTGTTGTTTAGAATTACATATGATATGTTCAAACTACAACTCCATTATCCTAGTTTATTATGATGGACATTGCACTTGGACCTACAGAAAACAAGCAACATTTAAGTTGCTTCCAGTAACTGTGGGGAGGAGAGAAGCTCCCATCCCTTTCCAGCATTATTTTGAAACTCTGGTACAGTTTCCATTCTCTGTAATACCAGTTGTCATTAACAAGACAAAGTCTTTTATGTGACCTAAATTTGACGGATGTTCTGTGAAATGAAGAGTAGCTACAGTTATAATGGAAGGTAATGCCATAATGCAAATGGGAAATGAATCAAGATGGCCTCCTTCCATGGCTCAGTAAATGGGAATAGAGGTTGTCTATGTAAAGAATTTTTTATCTGAATAGAGTGTGAATAGAACAGTCGATGCAGCATGTGCACTAGGAAGTTGGCGAGGATGTTGACCAATGAAAAATTATGCTAACGTAATGCTTTTTACACACAGATCAGTGCAGGCGTGTTACTAAAATCTGAAAAGAAGTTATTTTGGATTGCACTATGGATTGCTTTTCTGTCATCCAAGAAACACTATTTCTATCTTTTAACCTGTGGACTTGTGTAAGGTGGCCCAAAATGGCCACAAACACTATAGTAATAACTACATACACTTGCTGCCTTGAACTTTTGTTTCTTTCCATTTTTTTCTCTAGGTTTATTCTTGAATTTTATATTTTAAAAAAATCATCTACTTAATGTTTCTGGAAAAATCTGTACCTAAACTGACTTTTTGTTTTGTAGGTATTTCGATGACATTGATGATGAGATGGATCCAGAAATTGAAGAAGCATATGAAAAATTCTGCCTAGAATCAGAACATAAGAGAAAACAGTGAGATGCTATGCATAAATGTTAGTTTATTAAAGCAGCTGAGGTATGATTAGAATACAGGGGAACACAGAATTGTAACATTTGTACCAAAATAAAGAAACTGAATTTCTTCAAGTACTAACGTTACACAATTTTCATTTTGTTAAAACAGAATCTGCCAAAAATTGTAAACTGATGCCCTGTAACTTAAAACGTTATGTATATATCATTGTTTATTTTGTGTACAGGTAAATGAACAATGTTTTGGCTGCAATAAAAGCAATTTAAAAAGTATCACAATGGAAATAAAACTTAACTGGGAATGGTCCCATTAAATTTCTCATGGGCAAAAAAGGGGATAGATAACTTGATATAAATTGAATAGCTTGCCTGTTTTAGGATAAGTTAGGACTTACTCATCCTTTTCCTCATATGCAAGATAACCGGGTTTTACATGGTTTTGTTTGTTTGTTCTCGTTTGGTTGCTCTTTTGTTGTTTGGGTTTTGTTTTTTGGGGCTGTTTTTTTGTTCGCTTGTGCTAAGTAGCGTATTAGCTGAATATGGATTATCTTTCTTGTACTTCACAATCATGACAAGTGGTTTGTTAAGGTTTTTATTTTCCCTCCCTCCTACCCTTTGAAAAAGACATGGGTGAGGTCTGGACTACTACTTTTTTTTTCCTGTAATGAACATTTAATATATTGATATTGTGAAGAAGCAAGCAGTATTTTGGAAGTCAGGTGCTTACAAGACTTGGTTCAGCTATTTTGAACTTTTACAAGCAAAAACAGTCCTTTAAATAGTTTGCTGTGTTCTTCAAGGCTACATGAATATAGTTATGTTTTAACCATGCTCCTCATGAGTATGTGCAGTTCTTAACATATTCTTGAATGTATCTAACATGTCTAACCTTCTGGCAAAATTTGTAATTTTCTTCATTCTTTTAATTGTTTTATATAATTTGTCATAATTTTGTAGCTTGTGTACCTCATTCATTTATTTTATCGATGTTAACATTCTGATGCAAACTGACCCAAATTAATCATGTTAGTTTTCCTTTGAGACTCCCCTGTTGCTGATCTCAGTTGTAGCATTTCCTGTCATTTGTTATAGGCTAGAATAAATAGAGCCCTTTAAAAAAAAAATGGACGTTTTTCCCCAAAAGTAGCTACTGTAAAGAACACATGTTGTAAATATGCATGTAAATAATTCTGTTAATATTTCACTGTAATACGTTTGGTTAAATAACTTGTGTGTCTGCTAATACAGTGAGTACTGACTGTTTTCTGGATGTTTATTTAGCATATTCATTTAGGTCTGAGTTTTGGAAAATAAAAATTAACTAGCTTTGTTTCCTTTGGTATATTTTCACTGTATTTTGTCTTTTTGTTTAAAAGGAATAATGTTCAATTTTGTTCCTTTTCTCTCCTTTCATTTTTCCCTTTTCCTAACATAACACCTCACTGCGCTTTTTTTTATTATTATTATTTTTTACTTAAACAGTTTACACACAGTTGCATAGTTTGTATTTTAATACAGATTGGAAAAAAATCCTAAGAGGATAGCATAGAATTAAGTACCGTATAAACATTTCAAAGTCACTAGACAAAAATCCAGAAACTAGGTCGCCATAAATCAAATGGTATGATTTTCAGGTGAAGATACTTCATAAACACATTCTCTCATATTCAGTTGAGAATACGTTTTCTTAGAGAAAGATTAATCCAATTGTAGGTTAGATCTCTTGGTAACTTTACAAGCAGATGTCTTGTGGAAATACAGATTACAGAGAATAATATGACCAAGGAACAAGGATTAAAGTATGCATTTTAGTGAAATAATAGTGCTTTCAAAAGACTTTGCATTGTGTTTAGTTTTATGTAGTTTGTACCTTTTTTTTTCTGTGAAAAGTAGCTGTCTGAATCTAGGTGTGTGCATCCTGTCTGAGAGTATGTATGAGATGTAAATATAAAGTGACTTAACATATACCTTATTTATAAAAGATACAATTCCCTCATTGGGAATTGTATATTTAAACGAGTTAAGATCAAGGTTTGCATTTTTTTTTCTCCTGAAGATATGAAGTTCATAAAGTGAGACTTGAGTTCAAGATAGTGAAGAGGTTTAATTTGTCTGTGGAGGTTTGTAAGAGCTTTAAGCCTGTTTTGCACTAGAAAAAAAAAATGGCAGGGTGACAGAATAATCTTTGTCTTAAATATCTAACAGTCTTTACTGCTTGTCCTGTCTCACAGGAATCTATTACAAATTAGTGATGATGAAATGAGAAGTGAGAGAGCAAAAGAAAGAAGCAGGTCTTGCACTGTAACAGTCACCGCTCGATGCTTGTCTGTCTGCTTTTAACAGGCAGTAGTTCTTCTGTGTATCATAGAGGTGAGTCTTGAGGGATTTAAAGATAATTTTACCTACTACTTCAGTATTTACAAATTTTAAGTGCACCGTGTAAACATGTTTTTCATCAAAAAAAAAGTACTTATTTTCTTGCAGCTTAAAAGAAGGACAAGACACAGAAGCATGGAAATAACAATTTGGAAGAGAGGAGAAGCTGTCATTAACTGCCAGTTCTGAAAAGAAACATACTCCGTGTTAGATTCCCCACACTTAATTATGTAGTTTTAACTACACACATCATGAAAGTCTTGCACAATATTGGCAACTTTTAGAAATTGATTAAACAAAAGTGTTTAGTATTTGAAAATCACAGTTTTTCTCCTCAGAGCTTTTTACTGCTGGACTAAAGCTTTCATTTTAGAAACGGAAAAACAAATGCTAGTGTCAGTGAGTGTCAGGTTTTAAATGCAATTGTAGTACTCCTCGAGCTCCATCAGGTATTACAATATTTTTTAAACCATAAATCCATTATGGTACTGATTTTCCATGACATTGGCTCTGGTTTGTATAACAAATTTTATCTTTTTTTTTTCTCTCTTGTGGCCAGTATTTCCTCATCATGATGGTCTGCCATTCTCCTTCCTACTGCACAGAACTCATTTATTCTACTAGTGATAGTTTGTTTGCAGATTTTCCTCTCCTTGACTCAATTTTAGTTTTAATTATCTAGTTTATTCTTGTAGATCCTGTTAGTTGGGAAATATGAAAAAAAAATGTTATTCCGCAGAAGTCACAGCCAAATGTTAAGAAATTTGCAAGATTTTACTTAATGAACACTGTGTTTGCCACCTTCCTGAAGCACAGAGATAAAGCAGGTGATCTGGTGTTTGAGGGAGGTGTCCTCCTGTGCTTCTGAAGCTCAGGGTTGTAACCTTAGCAGTGAAGTTGCTAGCAAAAAACAGTACAACTTCCATTACTTCATCAGTAAACAGGAAATCAAAATTAATAAAGCAGAAAAGCAACATCATTCCTACTTTTTAATGGACAAAAAACAAATAGTTTCATGCTCATGCAGAATAAGAATTTGCATGTTCAGAATCCTGCTCTAGTCCTGTAAGTTTTTAGACTTGTGCTTAAGACCAAGTATCTTTACATCACTAGGTTTTCTTTCAATGAATGTGGCATAAACCAGTGGTGTAAAGAATTGATAATCCAAAAAACATGCTTTGAAACTTGCTTTGAACAATTATACTGTGGAATAATAACGATTAAAAGGGGAATTAGAAATTGACAATTATTGTTCTGATGCAGATTTGTGTCTGCAGCCACTTTACTAGATTGTTGATCTACCACCTACAACTGCTGTACCAGCAAATTAGAAAGCAGAAATTTGTACCAAATTCACCTCTTCAGCAATTCCATGTTCATATAAGAAACCCATGTTTCCACAGGTAAGGAATGACTTACTTTCTAAGGCTACATGAGATTCTATGAATATCTGGTTATGACTCATCTGGTGTGGCTGTATATCACAGGATCCTGAATTACATCTGCTTAGCGCTTTACACGGGGGTTAACAACAAATTGCCACTTAACAGTAAACTGACGACTTAAAAACAACTTTGATTACAGCATAAATAGGTAGGGGTACAAATATGGTTTGCTCAAATATGCTTTGAGGGTTACTTTTTTTAAAATTTGCTTGTGGAAAAACAATTCTTCACTCAGCAGGGACCTGGTGTGCATGGCTATTTGTTAGATTTTTCTGTGGTAGGAATGTATATGCAAAGAAGCACAGGTGAATTATTTATCTGTAGTCTGTCACCATTGGGATATGTTGTACCTCTGCAAGCTGCTTTCTTAATTCTGTTCCTCAAGCTTCTTCATGCTTTTCCAGAGATGGTGTCAGAAGAGGATGTATAAGTCTTCCCGGCAGCTGCTTGCCTGTCTGGGAAGGGGACGTGCATAGACAAATGCAAAGGTTCTCCATGGGGCTGTACTGGATGGGAATACACACACTGAAATGCAGCTGCAGGATGCATGGCCCCAGGTGAGTGATTCTGCACAGTCCAAGGCTCACTGCTAACTTTCCTCCCAGGCTTTTAGCATGAAGACTGCCTCCTGATTATCCAAAGGCTGCTTCCTCTTGCTCTCTCAGTAATGAAGAACAAGCCATTTTAATCCATGTATTCTGTTCTGCCCACTTTTTGCACAACTTTGCTCATGTCTCCCAGACAGCAATTTTGCACAGAACCAGCTGCAGCTCTGCTGCTTCAGACCAAAAGATGTCCCACGCAGAGAAAAGCAGCAGGCCAGCAGTCCCCGCACCACACCCCAGCTACAGGTACACGAAAATAAATCTGTATATGTAAATACACACACAGTGATTGAGTTTAACCGGGAGAGCAGCTGTGCGTTTCCCTGGGCCGGCGCATGTCCCTCCGGCCCCGCTCGGTGCTAGGGCGACGCAGGACGAAGCTGCCGCCGCGCGGGGC